GGGAGAGAGAGAGAAGAGGGAGAGAGAGAAGAGGGAGAGAGAGAGAAGAGGGAGAGAGAGAGAAGAGGAAGAGAGAGAAAAGAGGGAGAGAGAGAAGAGGGAGAGAGAGAGAAGAGGAAGAGAGAGAGAAGAGGAAGAGAGAGAGAAGAGGAAGAGAGAGAAGAGAGAGAGATCTCATACATGTATAATGGTAATATTATTTTAGTAATTAATAAAAACCCATCTTAGTGTAAGTTAGGAATGCCAAAGTGCAAATAATTTAACTTTAGTTCTAGAATATTAAAATTAGCTGTAAAATAAAGCTAATTTTATGTACAAATTAAAAGATATAAATTCCCCTTCTCCACAGGGTTACTGTGAAGGGGACAAAGAAAAAAGCCCCTAGTCGCCGTGACTACTCGCCGGCCTCTTGCATCGTCATACGGTCTTGTTCTCTTCGTCTCCCTCCCATTTACGCTCGTGTGCGAATGTTCCTTGCACCGCAATTAAGAATTCGTGCGTACGCGTATCTCTCGCTCGTACTGTTCCAAAGTTTGTCAGTGATGAAATTTACTTGATCTCAACGCGAACTATTTCCCTATTGTACTGTCCTCAGCTCGACAGTAACAGGTAGACTAGATTAAGTCCTTGCGTCTTGTCTCAAGAAATACATTCTTCCAGAAAAATTCTAACGAAGTTCACGGACGGCTATCTAGGCGTCCAACACTCCCGCCTAGTAACTCGGCGAAGTTGTTGCTGGATCGGCGCGCGGGAACGGAAGAGAGGGATGGCCGTGGTCTCGCCTGTTAACGCGCGCGCCCTCCGTGTAGGAGCAGTGCGCGCCGCCTCCCCTCTCCAGTCACGCTGCTTCTAGGTTATATCCCTGCGTTGTGCCGCGGACATCGCGCGCAACAGTAATGCAGAGTTGTATTCAGATTTAATTGGATTACTTTTCCATAATGCATTCCGTTGTTCTACAACCATATCTTAAATCCCTATTTTCACCTTATACTAAGGCTACGGGTGGTGCAGTCCTGCCAGCATACAGACCTCCTCTACCGAGAGCTGCGGCAGTCTCTCTAAAAATGGCCACTTGCAGCTGCCCCTTTCGACTACTCACCGCTCATGCGCGGCAGGTGCGGCTGCTTGTTGAGCCACTCCTGCAGGCGCTGCACGTCGTCGGCCTTGAGCCGTGGACAGCTCTGCAGGCTCTCCTCCAGCGAGGGGCCCGGCGGCAGGGGCAGCGCCGGTGGGGGATGCATCTCCTGCAGGGCAGACGGCTCTTCTCAGCGAGCGAATCAGCGAGCGAATCAGCGAGCGAATCAGCGAGTGAATCAGCGACCGAATCAGCTAGCTAGGAGCCAACGCGAGGCCCGAGCGATGCGCATGCACCCCTCCGGGGCACAGCTCCGCGCGTCGGCGCGGGCAACAGCGGAGAGGTCGTCTACGCGCGTTTTGGAAGTGGAGGAAACACAATCGCCCTCCCCTTGAAGTTCTTCTCAGGCACGCTCCTCAAAAAAACAGACACCACGGAAACTATCGATGAAGCAGCCAACCGCTAGAATTCCCTCCAGAGACGGTCTGAATTCGACCAGCTTTTCCAGCTAATGCAAAAAATATCGTCGGGAGTCGAACCCAACGACCTGACGATTAGAGAGACAGCTGCGGTAACATTCGCGATATAACGGTCAGAAGCGCCATCGCTCCCGTCGAAAGGACGGAGGGTAAGATCAGCGAATAGAGAATATCAGTGCGCCACCGAAGGCATTGCAGCTTCCGTAGAAAACTAATGGCGCTACAACGGCACATAATTAATCGCATTATTTCTAAATTTGCTATTTTACAACATTCAGAGAGTTCAACGAAAATCAGATATGCGCACTTCTATTAAGTATCTCTTCTTTAATCAGTGGAAAAAAATTAAAGAAAAAAATTGGAGCGCTTTTCGAGAAAAATATGTTTTTTTTACTTTCTCGGCCTTACGAAGATAGTACTTCATAACATGAGAATGGCATATAGTCGTGCTCCGGAAAACGATGAATTTTCGACAGAAAAACTCTTATTGCCGGGTATCGTAAGTGACTCATGAAAAGTGGATCAATTCATTGGCTCTATCTAAATTACTCCATGTACCATGTGGTGTAGCCAGAATCCATGTTTTGTGGGTATTTGATTGATTAACGACAAAACATGTCTGTCCGTCTTTGGTCATCGCTAGAGCTTGAACCATTCAGCTGATTTTCTCCAAAATTAATATTCCTCAATCTATCTGAATGAACTCGAGGCTTGACGAGTTTCAAACCACTATTTTAATTTCTGAGGCAACTTTTCATGAATTCTCAAAAACCTTTTCAAAATATTTTCAAAAATGGCCCAAAAGTTTTTGACTAAAATTTGCATTCGGATAGTCGTTTAGAACGCTTAATTGAATGGTACAGGTCTCATCATCTTTAAAATCCCTGATATTTCGAAATTCCAGAATTTTCGAAATCCCTGAATTTTTGGAATCAACTTCGTACAACCAATGTATTGTAGACAGAAATTTTCTCCTTAAATAAAATCTGTTCCTTAAACACAGATCTTCTATGTTCTTGTACATTTTTTTCGAAAACATTAGGTTTTCATGAAGTTTTGCACGAAATAAAGACAATTTAATTTCTTAGCATTTTTTCTCAAAAACTGCTAAAATTTTTCTTTAAATATTCTCTATCTATGTACAACGGAAAAATATGGTGCTAGTCCCATTTTCAGTGAACACTGCGATTTTTCGAAATTACAATATGTTTACTTTTTTCATTATTTTTTTTTCTTCTGTTAAAGGAAGGACACAATAGAATAGTATGGGTCTCATTATCGTTGAACACTGAATTGCCGAAAATCACATAATCAGAAATAATACGAGAAAGTATGTTATGTTGTAATGTGACTAGTAATAAACTTCATTACATTCAAAGAGGAATTTTGCGAAAACGACTAATTTTGTTCAGCAAAAAATTGTACATGACCTTCTTTGATGATCTGTGTTTTATTTTAAGGTAAAAGCCTATCTTAAATTTCCCTGTTTTGAAATGTACACTTTTGAAAATTATCAAAACATATACAGACCGTTCGCCGGAAGTGAGAAATCATTTTTTATCGCCCATTAATACACGCTAAGAGAAAATTTCAAGAAAAAATTATGAGTTTTTTTGAGCGAAAACTTGTTTTAAGAGTTTTAAAGTAAAAATCTTGTCTTCAGTTTTTTAGTTGTAGGAAGAAGCCGAAAACAATTTAACTTTTGTGATTTTCGAAAAATCAGGGATAACAACGAAAATGAGGCGTACACATTCTCTTTAATGTTATTTAGTTATTCATAGTTCTGTTTTTAGTAAGAGTTATGTAAAAATATTTATATGGAAGTGGGGTGGAGCAGGAGGAGGGTCTGGCCTGGGTGTGGCGCGTGAAGTTATTGTTCGTGTCTACACTTTCTTATTTACAAATAAATTAATAAAGCATGTGTGATATGTCAAATACTCAGAAATATTGGAAAAATGAATCCTGATCAATTGTCGACTTTTATAATCATCCGAATGAGATTAGTAGTCAGAAAAAACAATATTTTGTATAATAAGTCTGTGAAATGATTTATAAATTAACTAACAATTCTCTAATTCTTTCCGCAACCAAATAGCTTTCCCTCCTACATCTGACACACCGTGTCCGAACGTCGTCTGCCCGTTTTTTTTCATCTCGCGCGCCCTTCATCTGTCTCTCATCTGCGCGATATTTTACTCAAACACGTCTCTCGCGCGCCGATCCTTCGATTCTTCCCACACAATCTAACTCCTGACTGGTCACACATATTTCATCATATCTGTTTATTCTTCGGATTCCTGCTCGTAATAACTTCTTAATTTATTTTCTGCCCCACGGAATTTGCTCACGTGTCCTTCCACTGCATTATTTGTTAACTTTTTTTTTGTATTTTCTCCACTATCAATTCTGTTGTCCTTTCTTTGTATTGTTCCCAAAATAAAACTCACCTCGGTCTCTTTTCTATATATCCATTGTTACTGTTGTCCATATTTATAATTATGTAAATTTATTATTTCTATTTAATTTCCCTTGTGATACCCCATCACAGTAGCTGCAACATATTTTTTCAAAAATGCTAAAGTTAATGAATGTTGGTTGATTTCAGGTTACTGGTAGCAGGTTCTGGTCAGGAAGAAGGGAATAAAAATCAATTTTGTTAAGAAAATCACCAAAATCGATTTTTTTTTATTTAAAAACCCTCTTTTGCAAGAAAAAGACTTATAGTAGACGTATAGACGTATGGTCTTAAGACAAATACGTATGCACTTTGAGTATTATAATTATCCAGTTTATAGAAATCACAGCATATTTTTCATCATTCGAAAATGACACATATGTACACCATTCTCTCATGCAAGGGTTAATGTCAACGCGCCCTTGGCTGGCACAAATTTGGATTTTTTAAAATGTATTTATATATACTTTTATAAATACTTTTTATATTCAGGAATACTTCATGGAAAGCACATTTTTTTATTTACCATCAATCCAGAATCTAAGAATAATCAAGGTAAAAGCAAATTTGCGCTCGTCCAGAGGATGAGAAAGTAACTTGTCACAGTTCACAGCACTTCAGCAACGCTCCGGCCACTACGTCACACTACTAAGTTCCCCGGAGGGCACGCGGCTTTATAGTACTTAAGCCCGCGCAGCGAGTCAGCCTTCCAGCCCCAACTTGTCTGGGCGAATGCAAAAAGGTAGGAGGCTTCCCGCGCCCGTTCTGGCTTGTGGGTTGCCTGCAACCTGGCGGCGCTTTCCCGCACCTCCCATACCGGCGAGCGCTGTCGGCGGAGCCGCCACGCTGCACGTGTCATTGCGGGCGGGCTTCGGCGCGCCGCCGGGCCGCCGCCGCGGCCGCGGCCTCCTCTGCTACGGCGTTTATTGTAAAAATGATGGGAAGGAACTCCGGAACTCAAGAAAACGTGCGCAGGCGATCTTCTCTCCCATTAGTCACGTAAAGATTTTACCGTTTTTTTACTAAATAAATCTAAATCTAAATTATGCTTATTCAACGTGTGCCACCCAACCCCACAAACTTAACTATTTTCCAACATCCGAAAACAACCATATGACGCTCATCTATAATCTTCACTCCCTCTGAGAGAAAAGAAAACTTATTAAATACATGAAGGACTTCAACATTGTTAAACCACTCAGCTTCCCAAGACGTTGAAATCCCATCCCAACTGGAAAGAACATAATATTACCATAAAAACGTAACTATCAAATACTCCTTACCTTTCTTCTGAATTTAATACACATGACCAAGATGCGATAAAACAAGTGCTCCAAAAGTATGACAAATTTTATCACATTTACACTGACGGATCCAAACAAGAAGGAAAAACTGGCTGTGCAGTAATTCTAACAAATGAAAATAAAGTCAATACAAATCGCCTCCCGGACTTCTTTTCCATTTTCACTTGTGAAGCACGGGGAAGTGGTTAACGCCACTGAAATCAGTGTCAAATTTGCAAACAACTTGCCAATTATCAGTGTCATCTTTTCCGATTCAATGTCAACCCTTAAAGCCATTTAAAACCGATATATCAACAATCCAATATATCCCATAACTTATATTTACTCAAAATACAAAAGGAATCAGAATAAAACTATTTTGGTTTTCTTCTCGTAAGAAATTTTATTGAAAATGAGAAGGCAGATAGCAGCAAAAATGGCAGCATCATTACCCAATGTTGAATCACAAATTCATGGCACCCAAATAAAGAAATAAGCTTAGAATAAAGAAAATTCGTGTTATCGACGTTTGTTTTATCCAGGTTTGACTATATATTTAAATTCAAATTTTCAACGGTGGATTAAAAAGGTATTTTCGTATTTTGAAAATACAAAATACTGTCAGGAAGTATTTTGGATAAAGATACAAAGTACATGTTCAAATATGTATTTTCGATAGAAAATACAAAGGTATCGAAAGTACGTATTTTAAATTCATGTATTTTCGATGCTACTTACCACTGCGTACTGCTAACAAACTCACCGGGTATTCGCGACAAATTATGAATCTAACGTATTCAAATCATATTGCCTGCAACATACGGCAACTCAAAAAATTCTAGCTAATTCGAGTCGCGAGTGATCGGTATCATTCTCGCAATTCAATTCCAACCAAAACCACACGAGCATGGACAAAGTGGGCTATTTCAAATAACTACTATACTAATCTAGT